CACACACACACACACACACACACCTACACACACACACACACACACACACACACACACACACACACACACACACGCACAGAAACATAAAATATCAAGGAGGTATACAAGCACCATCTAGTGCTTTTTTCTGGAAATTGCTCTGCAGAATGTTAAAAAGTGTCAAACACACCATTATTCATTCAGAACATTTATTAAAGGTAACATTTATATCGTCCAGTGCAGAAAGTAAAGCTCACATCGTTTAAGGGTAGTAAAATTGAAGTGTGATTGAATCAAAAATCCAGAATTCTTTTGTAAAATCGTGAAAGAGTCTAATTAAAATCTTTACAACACTGGGTTTTTGCATTTCAGGCAAAATGCACACTGAAGTATATTTTGATTTAATTTCTGAATAAAACTATTAAATCTTCATCAATAAAATATCAAACCTATCAAAGTTTATTTTTGCAAATACTGTAGTTGACTTTGGTCACATACAGTGACTGAATACATACAGTGTTCAGTGAAAAGTTAAACAAAAAGCCTCTTTGTGTGCATCTGTCTGTATGCACAAGCATGACATAGTTGTGTAAATACAGGGAACATTGATCGTGTGGCTGCTYCTTTCTATCTTCAGAGATAACTGGGAGATAAATCAACACATGTTTCAGCAACACAGAAAGACATCTGTAGTCATCAACTTGTAACGCTATTATAGCTATAGCCTACCTATATATATTAAACCTATACAGTACATTCAGTTATTACTTATATGGTACATTGACTAAGCCAAGGTGTTTAACAGATATTTGAAAATAATTAAAAGGGAATAAATGAGGATAGTRTTTTTTTTCCGGATTAATTTGTATTTTTTATTAATATAATCAAGTAAAAAATGTCACACTGATTTWTGATAATATTTAGTTAGGTTTATTACTGGGATTCAACGAAGATTGTGGATGCAAATACRTAGTCATTTACCCTACTAATCTTACTTTTAGCATTTTTTGTAAACATTGCAAACATTTTTTTGTAGGATTTATTTTGTCTGTCACATTAGAACATTGCTAAGAATAATAGATTTATTTCACAGAAAGCTTGAAACACATTTATGTATGTATGTATGTATGTATGTATGTATGTATGTATGTATGTATGCAGTCCCACTTCTTTTGATCAAATTGTGCTGTCTGGCTCTTCATTTTCTATCCCATTCACCATTCAGAGGAATAGAAAGTTTGATTAAAACAAAAAAAAAACAGAGCTGGGTTATCGTGTTTCGTTTAGTAGAAACTAACTTTGTTTTTGTATTACTATTTTTATGATGAAGTTTGTTTGTTTTTCTGCACAGTTTTAGTTGTTGTCACTTACTTTTTAAAGCTGCTAAAAGTCCCATATATAAACAATGAAATCRGTAAAACATTTATGTAATAATTTATTTATATAATTTAAAACTAACTGGACAAGAAACAAAAAATATATGTAAATCCTGCTTACCTGAACCAATGAGGTAAATRTACCTCAYTGACCTGAACTCTGCARCAAACCTAACGGGCACCCGTAGTTAGCTGACGTCACGGGATTGCAATGTGTGTTTAGAAGGAAAACGCTGAAAGACTTTAAAACCAGCAAATACTTTCAGTACAAATCGCTGTCCGTAGCGTTTCAAAATAACAGAATAATGATCAAGAGCGCTGTCGCTGCTGTTTTGTTGAGTCATGTCAGATTTTCGTCAAAACTCCGAGTTCGCTGAGCTGTGGCGAAATAATGTYTGTAACCGTGACCTAAACAAAACTCTGCAGCGGGACAGACAAACGAGCCAGCAGATGACTGAAACAAGAGCATCACGCGTGTGTAACGGTAAGAAGACAAATGACACGCAGCTCTGCGCCTTTTAGTCTGTGTGCAAAAATCTGTCATGAATTAYTGAACAGTAATCAAACTTTTGAACGTAATCTGGATGCATGTTGATTCAAGATGGCCCCATGAAAATGCTAGTAGCAGAGGGTCAATTATAACGTGTGTACTCTAAACATGACATCATACAATATTACACAAGTTTATCTTCAAAGTTCCTCCCGAACAACTTCAACTTTTTTTTCTTAACAACAATAATTGAACACTGGTTGCACAGGTCAGATGAATAAATCAATCAAATACATTTCCTTGTTTAAAGTGACAGTCATGGTATAAAAGTAGTTCTGATGTACATATTTTTACCACAATATTCAAACAAATCAGTTTTGGATTCTGTTAATTGTGTGGGGCCCAAATACATTTTAAAAAGGGCCAAATTTGTCTTTCTTGAAGGACTTGTTGAATCTGCTTTAGGAGGAGCACAGGGGAAAGGTGAAATTACAACCAGGTGCAGTTACTTACATTTCCACATGTTTGTTAGGTGTGTAACAATACATCAGTCCACATCAATATATGGATTAAATGGTTGATTCATTGACATCAAGGCAAAACAAAAATAGCTAGCCATGTCATCATCACACGCCCACTTTAAATGGATAAATCATTGTATTACATGGGCATATAACATCACACCATGTTGATTGCATACTTGTGAAGTGAATTGATTTGAAATCATATGACACACTTTGTGATAGAGAAACATTGTATTGTCATCCAAACAAATTGGTGTAATATTGTATTGAAATAAAGCTGGTGATTTACAACCCTAATGCTTGTGTGCAAGAAGAAATGGTAAATAATTTTAAAAAATCATCTCTTTGGCTGTAAAACATTACAGATGGTTTTAAAATTGTTTGAAGTCCACAATCAAACTCAGAAGAAGTAGTAATAAATGCCAACAAAACATTTGATAATTTTAGATTACATATAAACTTCAGGTAACTTCTAAAACTCAGAAACCAACAAAGATCATAGTTGACGTAGTTCTGTAAACTGGAGTAGGCTGCAATTCTTCCACAATAATGGAAATTCCTATTAGTAGTTGCTGCCGCACATGATCATTCTCAATATCATTTTTGTCACAGTTTTAAACTGCATTCCTACTACTGAGGAATTGTGATAGTTGTTGGGTCATATTTAAGAAAATAATCAGGGCTGTTAATGAATCAATTAATCGCTTGAGAAATAAAATGTTGTCGATAATTTTCATTCACCTGGTTGCTTGTTTTCTCCCTCTTTTCTACTTTTCTCTGCTTCTCTTTTCTGCATCTATTTACTGGGTGCATGGTGTCGTAACCTCTGTAGCATGAGAGCCCTGTGAACAGACTTTTAGCTAGAGCAGAGTCTTTGGTTTTCCAACGCTTTCCATTTCTATTATATTACTTTAAAATGGTCTCTAAACAATATTATTGTTTATTGCAACAATTGACTCAATTTATCGTCCAGCAAAATTTGTTACTGTGACGGGCCTAAAACTAACATTTTATGCATCAGTGTGTAACTCTTGTCTACTGTTTGCACAGATGTCCTGAGTCCGAGGCTCAGCGGCAGCAGCAGCTCCAGATGCTCTGGATTGAACACTGGAGGGTCTCCCGGAGATGTTGAAGCTTCACAAGACATTGTCTGGGATTCTACATCTCCCACTCAGACTAGTAAGCAACACCAAGTCATTCAATRTAGAAATTACATTTTCTTTCAGAATAACAGGTTTGATATGAATGGAAACAGCAGTRGTACGAGCCTCTTTCCTAACAGACATTTGTATTAATATCATAATCGAGTTGTCACTTTTTTTCCCCAGGATACAAGAACACCCAAGTTGTGGAAATATCTGACATTGTCAACCGTCTTGCTCCAAAGGTCAGCTGTTTTTTTTTTAATCATCTGATTAAATGACTTTTTCTATGTGTGTCTAATTCTGTTTGCCTCAGACTGTTATATGTAGATTTCTGAGAGAAGTGGCTCTAATATAGTGCTTTTTTAGGGGTCTGGATCCTCATTGTCACGTTGGATAGATGATGGCACCATTCCCTGCTCACTTGAGGCAAGGCAAAAAGTCAAGAAGAAGTCCCCTCGGTCTGTTTACAAACAGTATTTTATGCTTCAACAAATGCTTTTTTTACTTGTCAAACTCAATCCTTTTTAGTGCTTTGTCGTCATTTCCTCAATTAAATATTATTTTTCTTTTCTGTCATAGACAGMGTAATGTGGAGGAGGACCTCAAGATACTGGCCAGGCAGATTGATGAAAACATGCAACAAGACGAGGAGTCTTCAGAACAACTGAACTTTGTCAACAGTGACCTTTGTAAAACTGTGAACAGCTCTGAAACTAAACCGACAACAGCGTCATTACTGAGTAATGTGAAGAATTTGAAGTGTCCCTCTTCATCAGAGCAGGTGGAGGTACAGCTGTACGCTCTGTTCGACTGCTCTACTCAGGGAGGCAGTGGCAGGTTAAGTGAGGGTTCTTCGTGTTCACAAGAAATGGTCCACCAACCTGTGTCTGCAGGTCTTGCTAAACGCCAACAAACAGAGCTCAAGCTGGCTGCTGAGTCTGGGACAGCAGGACAAACAGAAACATGCAGTAACAGTGCAAAAAACTCTGAGTTTTATGATGACTGGAATGATGACTTACTCAATGACCCTTTCATTCTAGCAATTACCCAGAATCCATATGGACAAGATGCCAATCCTGAAATGGCACCACAGCCTCACACTCAGACAAACACTAAGCTTCCCTCTGTTTTAAATTCAGACTCTGCACATAAGCCTACAGACGCACGCTGCAAGACGAGCAGCAGTGCTCTTCAAGAACTGTGTCCCAAACCAAAGTCAAGGAACCAGAACTTCACTGTAATAAATCACACATCAAAAGGGACTGCCAAGAACTCTGCTGCCCCAAAGATGCTTACTTCCCGARCGAGCACAGTCACTAATATTCAAGCTGAGGCACCTTCTATTGATGACGTTTCAGACGGTTTATGGGACGATGGGGACGATGAGCTGCTCTATCAGATTTGTGACAGCGTGGAGAGGATCTTCAACAGTCAGCCAAAAAAGGTGAATCCAAACTACAGAGAACAAAAAGAAGAAACTCTTCACAGGCAAGTGGAAACCAAAAAAATTCTGCCAATCGGCACAACAGGGTCCATTCATTCTGGCGTCAGTGCTAATAGCAAACGATCATCAGGTGCTTTTGTACGTTCTAACTCATTACCAGAGACTAGTAGTAAAACCATCTACCAAGGATGGAACCTTCCCATGAAAGGTRCCAACAATAAATCAGGAATGTCTGAAAGCTTCCCAGAAAGTCGTGTCAATCAGGGCACATTTAACCACGGCAGGGACTTCTCTGGAACGTTCCAGGCTGGAAATAGCAACATGGATACCCACCAAAGAGCATTCAAGAGAAACATGTCTGACTCTGCAATCATAAGCAACAAAGGTAGGAAAACTGAATGTGGATGTTTGCAGATTTGTTGTGGAACAACAGACTGATTTGTGCAAACATTTATAGTGATAAACATGATGCTAGCATTAGGTTTTTTATAGGGGTRTCCCGATCCGATACTGATATTGGATATCAGCCAAAAACAATTATCAGATTTTATCGGCCTGCATCTAAAATTTCTGATAAATAATCACTCTGATAGAAACAGGCCGTTCCACCAGTCTTCTCCAACTTCTCTATCCAGCAGTGCTTGGATCCAGCATGCAAAGCCCACATGATCACAACATGCTGCACTAACAAATTAGCAAGAAGTAAGAGCGATGTCAGCAGTTCTTTCTATTTTAATAAAAAACAGAGTTGCAGCAAAGTGCAAAATTGTCATGCACAAGTTTTCCGTGGGGGCACGTTTCCAACCGCACACAACCATGCTGTTCCAGAACCTCCTTTCTGGTGGTTCTAAACGTGTAGAATTAGTACAACATGTTTACGAATTTGACATCAGCAAAATGCTACCCGTGGATTAGCTCTGGGATTGATTGACAGAAGAAAGCAGAGCRCAGCTTTTGTTTTGAAATAGGAACGTGATATGGCGAGAGCAGTAATTAAAAACTGTGCTCTCTGAACAAGCAAGAGGCTAATCTCCACATGATGCTCGGACTGTAGAGAGTGTGGAAATGCAGCAGTAAGAAAGGAAGCTATCAATTTAAATAATTGATTCTTACTATTTATTTTTTGCTCTTGTTATTAGGGTGACGCTTAATCCAGTGGTTCCCAATCCTGGTCCTCAAGTACCCCTATCCAGCATGTTTTACTTGTTTCCCTGCTATTCAGCAGGTCTTCAGAAGATTGTTAATCACTCATTCATTCAAACCAGGTGTGTTAGAACAGGGAAACATCTAAACATGCAGGACAGGAGTCCTTGAGGACCAGGGTTGAGAATCACTGCTTTAATACATGTTATCTGATTTGTTATTAACAAATAAATGGCAAAGAATCAATGGCTTCCAGAGGCAATACTAAAAACATAAAACTGAGTCAATATTATATTTTGAAAATGTCTCATCAAGCTCAAAGAAGCTCTTGAGGTGTTCAACATTTAAAAGGGATCCCGGATTAGCTGTAACAATTGACTTTATTTGTTAAACATATATTTTAACTGTAAAATAAAGACTGTAAAAATACTGTAGGCTGTTTAGTTTTGTAAATTTTTAAAAACATATTTTAACACGGACGGAGCCATTTTATTTACACGCAAAGCATTCTGGGTAAATGATGACGTGGATAGGTCCTCGGTGTGAGCAAGCTATATCCACCCTGAAGGTTAATCTTGGCCAATATCTGACAATTAACTCTTTTAAATAAAACCAGAGAGCGTTGACACAGAGGAGAAGGTAGACATGACTCAGCCTGTAACAGAAAATATGGATGGAGGACAACAGAGCTGCTTCATGGAAGAAGAACCTCAGCTTAGCCTGTTAGCCTTTGCGCTAGCGCCGACACTATATTGCCTTATAGGTATTACTACTAGGCATAGGCCGAATACCGGCTTCAAGGTATACCGTGATATGAAAAAGTCACGGTTTCAAAACCACTAAAATTTTCTGTCATACCGTACCTACGGTATAAGCGTTTTTTGTTTATTTTTCCTCTGGTCTGTGCCTCTGCAGACTTTCCTGCACGACCCCTCCCCCGCGCACTCCCGCAGCAGACTGCCTGTCGGCACTCGCAGCTCTGCGGGGGTTGTGTGATGGTGGCTGAAGAAGCGTGTTCCCCAAACTTTTCCCCTGTCTAAAATAATAAAGCCAGCTATATGAAAATACTTAGAAGGCCGTAAAGATGACGGCAATGTGGACTGTGGAGGCAACACATCTAACATGATCGCAGCTCCAGGTAAAGTTTATGCTATCTTGAAATGAACAAGCTAACTTAAGCATCAGATTGTGAAACATATCACAGTGTTGCTGTGGCTTAATGCACCGGTCAAAGCTTGTCTGCAAAACTGAGTTGTTGGATTGTGTATTTGATAAGTTTTAAGTGAAAGGCGATAAAACTGAATGCCTCCTTTAGCCTAACAGCTCATTAGCTGAACGTGCGTTTCATAAACATGCATTGTCAGTGTCAATTTATTTATACAGCACATAAAAACAACAAAAGTTGACCAAAGTGCTTCACAATTCAGCCAAATGAATAAAACAACAGAGCAATACATAAATGTAAACAACAAGATCAATTTAAAATAGAGCAAACATTAAAAACATTATTCATACTTGTGATTTCCTGTTTCTGTGGGCATATAATTATGTAATATTTACGTCAAAAACCCCTTTGTCATTTAAACACAAAATCTCCCAACATGATACATTACTTCAATAAAAAGACTTGTCGTGCAGTATACACTGATTTAACTAATAAAGCAGTGGAAAAGCAGTTATCCTATTAGATGTAAACTTTATCAGGATAACCTAATTGCATTGGGTGCTAAAATTCATAAGTGCAGATGCAGACAGGTAAATACAATTTCATCATAACACTTCTGAGATCTAAAAACAACTTCCAAAGATAATTAAAGTTTAATATGTTAATAGAAGATTTATTTTCTTTTTTTGTTTTTAAATACAAATTTCAAAACAATTTTTTTTAGAGTTGTAATCATAATACCGTCAAACCGCAAAACCGTGATATTTTTGCCCAAGTTTATCATACCGTCATAATTTCATACCGTCCCATGCCTAATATAGACGTCAACTTAACTTAAATGTGAAAAAGGATTTCAAGGCTTGATATGTCTCCTTTAAGAGCCKTTGCACTACTCAAATTTTAAAATGTTTTGAAGAATAATGTGTCTATCTTGATAGTTTACATGTTTCTGCACATTTCTTTAAAAAAAGCTTTAAAGCACATGCCAAACTTCAAGGCCTGTGGGCCAAATATGGCCCTCTGTAACATTTTATCTGGATCCAAAGATGGTATTTTAAATGTAAAATAATTGTTTTGCTTCTCTTTTTCCTTTAAAAAAAGCTTGTTGTACTTAGTGCAGCCTTCTCATAGGGTTGGGCGATAACTCAATTTAATCGATTAATTCAAATTTGCCATTTATAAAGATTTAATTTTGGAGAAAGTCAAGTTTTTTATTTATTTTTTATTTATTTATTTTTTCCCCACCAGTTGTCTTTGGGGCTTCTGTAGTTCAGAGGTCACCCCACCTGTCCCTCAAGACGTTTGGTACATGACATGACAATATGGCAGCTAGCAAAGAGGATCTACTTCTCAAAAAAGGCAGTGTTTCTTCAGTTTTCTGGAACTGGTTTGGTTTTGCATCGTCAAACTTGGAGCAACGAACACCTCACTGGAAAATCTTTTTGAAGGCTCTTGCTACAAAAAGCAGGAGTACAACAAATTTGTTTCAACACCCGAAACATAGGCACTCCATTAAGTGGGAGGCTAAATCTATTAAAATCGAAAATCGAATTTGGGGTGAAAAAAAATCAGATTTTTTTTGGGGGGGGGTCGCCCAGCCCTTCCCTCCTTCTCATGAAAGATGGACAACTTTAAAACCAAGAAAAATAAGTTGACATTTTTCAGTAGTTTTTGATGTTAGCGTGGAACAAGAAAAGAGTGCGTCAAATGAAACTCATTAAACTCCAGATGTCATTTGTAGTTCTACACACATCATTTGTTATACAATTTAAACT